TATTCTAAAGTCTTGTTTATTAAAATATATTTATTGTCACTTATTAATAATAAATGAGTTTGATTTTAAAATCTTTAATTTGAAAGACTCAAATTTTAATATTTAATGAATTACTTTCCTTTAACAATAACACAAAAAAAAAAAAAGAATTTTTTTATAAAATTTTACTTGGACTCTTTTAAGATTAAAAAACTATAACAAACAAGTAATAGTTCAAAGATAATATATATATATAAGTTCTATAAACTATAAAAAAATTAATAAACATCATAGAAGCCGAATATGAATTATTCTAATTACTAATGAATAAATGAAAAATCATTTTTTGAAAGAAATTTTGCATCTTCTGGCTCTGTTTCTATAGGTCAAGAAAGATGTAGTTAGGTCAACTAGGTAACATGTTACATGCGCACATGTGGTAGCTAGGTTTAGTTGTTCATGTACCCCAGCAATTCGATGTACCCTATTGCTCTGAGATCCAGCTCCTGGCTAATCCTTTCACAAACCATGTCCAAAGCGCCAATCAACACCACCAGGATGTCAACTCGCTGGGACTAACCTCAATCAGGAAAACGGCTGAACCTGTTGATATCCTGTAACTGATGTCCTCAATTACTTGATTGCACTTTGCCAGGGTATGGACTTGAGGCAGGGGATGTTCCCTCTTAAAGGCATGCATACATATTGACTTGCCCCAGAAAGTGCAGCTAATTTAGGGCTAGAAAAAAAGAGACTTAGCCCTACAGAAGTTAGGGATTCTTTTACTTTGGTGAAAACCCTTTTTAAGTCTTCAAATTTATCCTAAAATAATATTTAAGCCTTTAAACTAAAAACAAAGCAGATAAGCCTTATAATTCTACTAATAATGTAAATAACCCTTTCTCGCAAACGGACCAAATGATATTTCATGTTTAATATCATTTTTGAAGTATGAAAACCCATGAATGAGAAGGACTTATTTGCACTGTTAGTGAAATTGAAAGGCTTATCTATTTCATTTTTAGTTCAAGGGCTCAAATGCTATTTAAGATAAATTTGAGGGTTTAATTAAGAAGGATTTTTGCCTTTTACTTTTGATGATGAATGTGCATCCAGATGCACTTACTGTAATTAAAAGCCACCTACTTCCTCACCTCTCTCTTTTTACATGGGAAACAAGTTGCAAATATAAATGCCACTCTCAAAAGGACCTAAATACAAAGGATATCCCACCGTCTTGTGTCTCTTGTATGGAGAGGATTAACTAACTTTTGCTGCTAATTTTTGCTTACATAAAAGATTATGCCTTCTCTCATTTTTTAATCCCCAACAATGAGGGAGAGAGTAAATGACAATATTCATCATTTGTTAAGAAGTTTTTGTCACAAATTGATCGTTATCTTTACATTTTCAAAATCTATTAATCTTTTCTTTTTCCCTTTAACTATGTGTTTATATCTTAACATTTAATAATTCACCTCATAAATAATTTTTTTTTTTATATAATATGTCATAGAATAGGAGAGCCAAATATCTTTCTTTCAGTTTTCTTCTATAACTTTTTCATGCTTTATTAATTTTCCTCATTTAATAGTAATTTCTAAGGTTAGAAAGTTGTTTAACGGTGAGCAAAATGTCTCAACAAACACTTTCTTTTTAATTATTTTATTTATTTATTTATTTGGTAGCTAGTTTAGGCCTTTAATAGCCCAATTTATCTTAAAAGTAGATTTAAAAAATAAAAGTGTTTTAAGAGATTATTAGCATAATAATGCGTAAAATAGTCCAAACAATATAAATACCATAGTATTAACAATTAAGGGTGTGACAATAATCCCACCCAGATACCATCTAAAATTTAATAAGTGATTTCTACTTTTCTATATATATATGATTATGGTGAATGAAACGGATTCCCTCATTAATTACTTATTGATTGCTCCAAAACCTAACAAAAGTGATGAATCATTAATGGAAGAGGAGAAAAAGAAGAACAAGTTACAAAATTTCAAAGCTCAACTAAATAAGAAGAGTTGGAGTAGAGGAATAGACAGGTTGTCAAGCAGAAACAAATAAAAGGTGACAAAAAAGAAAAAAGAAAAAAAAAAGATTGAATAGCTTCTGAATATGGAGGGAGGCATCAGAACAGGCATGGGTCTATATATGGTCGAATTACTAGTTGTCAAAATGGATTGCTTAAAAAAACCCAAAAGGCAGAGAAGTCAAATTTAATTTCATCTTTTAATGAAGAAGATGATCATGGAAAACAGAAAAAGAGCATTTTTCTATTAAGCATGGGAAGAAAATTGCCGTCTTTGGAGCTTGTTTTTTTTCAAGAAAAGGAACCAAATAATTCATATATGTTTCCCAATTGATCTCACATCTTTGTCAATCCAAGTCATCAGATAATTGTATACATAACATATCTTTAGAGGAACAATAATGCTTCATGATTTTGATAATTAAAATTAGAACTCTTTTCGTACTACATATATAATAAATGGACTTACAATTTACAAACAATTAGAAAAGTTGGTCAAGGACTCTATAAGCTTTGACATCGATGTACATTTAATTCCTTCTTTGAAGTTAAATGGCTTAGAAAATGCTTTAAATTTTACTATTTATATAATCAAATTAATGTATTTATAAGTCTTTGTTCAAATATTTCTAGATGCGATGACTTTGAAGAAGAAAGATATATGTGGCTGACAAATGTTGGTTCAAAA